GAGAGAGAGAGAGAGAGAGAGAGAGAGAGAGAGAGAGAGAGAGAGCCTTGCTGGATGAAGTAGGTCATTGAAGGCAGGCAGCCCTTCAGTTTTTATAGTCTGGTCCTACTTCCTGCCTAGTGTGATGAGCTGGCTCATGCTCTTCCACTGTGGGTCACTTACCTGGACTGTATCTTCCTTCTTACATGGTGTTTCTCAGGTACGCTGTCACCACAATGAAAAATGTAATGGACCACAGAAAAGTGTTGCCCACAGTTCGGGAACGCTGGAAGTTCGAGGTCAAGGTACCAAGTCACTGTCTGTGGAGGAGGAGGTGCTCCTCATTGGTGGTACCTTCTAAAATATCCTCACACAGGCTAAGGGCAAACATGCTCCCTCCTAGGTCTTTGCATGTGTATACACATGAGTGTATGAGTCTGTATGTGTGCAGGAGCATATGCAAGTGTGTGTGTGTGTGTGTGTGTGTGTGTGTGTGTGTGTGTGTGTGTACATATGTGTGAAGGAATGCATGCATATGTGTGTGCAAGAGTGTTAAGGCCAGAGGTTTGTTTTCTGGGGCAGTTTGTCACTGGCCTGAATCAAAGCCAAGTAGACTAGGCTGGATCTACCTGTCAATCTTCCTAATGCTTAGGATGACAAGAGGATGCCACCATACACAGCTTATGTAGGTGCTGGGGATCAAATTCAGGTCCTCATGCTTGTGTGTGTGACAAACGCCTTACTGACTGGGCTGTCTCCCCAGGGCTCCTCCCATCTCTTACCTAAGAACAAATTCCAGTCACAAGGGCAGGAGCCCTCATGATTCAGTCACCCGCTGAAAGGCCCACCTCTTACTACTATTGCATGGAAGAGGAAGTTATCCACGCCCTATCAGCCTCCTCTCAAGCTTTGTGCTGGCGGCTTGAGCTGGCAGTAGAGGGGTCCTGACACCTGGACAAGAGCAGGGTTCCCCCTGCTGTCCCTTGCTGCAGGGTGAGCAGAGGCTTAAGCGGTTTTTAACCCTCCTAATGCTGTGACCCTTTAACACAGTCCTTCATGTCGTGGTGACCCCCAACCATAAACTTATTTCCTTATTACTTCTTAGTTGGAGTTTTGTTATACATCATAATGTAGATCCCTGATATACAACCCCCATGAAAGGGTTGTTCAACCCCCAATGGGGCTGTGACCCACAGGTTGAGAACTGCTGCCTTAGGGGAAGTCCCCGATATCCTGCTTTGACCTATGATTGAGATGTGGCAGGTAAGACACATTGCTTTTCTCCTAGTTCTATTTTGTTGGTTTTGAGACGGGATCTCACCATTTATCCCAGACTCCTTGGACTCTCAATCTTCCTGCCTCAGCCTCCTGAACACTGAGACTGCAGGCCTATGATTAGGCCTGGAAATTTCTCCCTAGTTCAGAATGGCCAGGCAGACAACCGTCTGTCAGGGTGAGAAGTCTTGCAGATGTGGAAGACGCTTACACTGTTCCAGAGCCCCAAAGATGCCTGATACCTGACTTTAGAAGTAAGCCCCAGCCAGGGCTTTCTGCTTCCACCCCTCATTTGCGCCCCATCCCCCACCCCCAGCCTATTTGCTCAGGATTAAGTGAGACCTCAGCTGTTTAAAGCTTCCAGCTGTTTTAAACTGGGGAAGAGGGGCATGGATGGAGGAAGTGGAGGGCACGGGCGGGCGAGCTTCCCCAGAAAAGCACCCCAATCCAGTTGAGACGCCTGAGGGAAGGCATGGCAACTCTGCATCGAGATGTGCACCAGATGGGATGGGCAGGCCGGGGGCATCTGCCATCTGTGCTGGGAGAGGTTCCATTAGGGGGTGAGGGCTAGGAGTGGAAGACCACTCTTTCCACATCTGGGACTTAGCTTGAACACAAGTTTGCTTTTGCTAAATGAA